TGCTGGGTAGGCTATCCATAGGACCTTTGGCTGTTTGCTGCTAATAGGTGAAATCCGATACCAAAAACCTCTCAACACCGACTCTCAAACGGTTTTCACCGTGACACGCCGTCAGCGTTCCGCGTTCCACCGGACCCGAAACGCCGAGCTCCGGACCGTGCGGTCGCCAAAAAGGACGCCCCGCCCGACACGGAAACGGACGCTCCAAGTGTCAGAGTACTCCGTATCTTTGGTCCAGTATTGAGAGCCAGATAAAATGCCTTGGCTGAGTGGAGCGATGGAAGGCATCGAGCTCATGGGGAGTCATCTCAGGGAGAATGATATAGTCATACAGTATAGTGGTTTCAGAATAGCACAATCCCCCCAAAAGCTGGGTCAAGCTGTTCACCCCCATCTGGGTTAGACCCCCATCTGGGTAGCTGTGCCCATCGGTTCCCTCTGAAAGCACGGCTTTCACACAGATCAACCCGGAGGAGGAACCGAAAGTCGTCTGAAGACGTGGGAAGTGAACCACCGCACGCGGAGGAGTCACATGCAGGTGCCCTGTGTGGGTGGTGTGCCTTGTGTGGTGTGGCTCGTCCCATCTTCCGGGGGCCGCGGATGTGATGTTTTAGGGGCCTCTGACTCTATGGAGTCCGCACCCCGTTGATTAAGTGACTGCTGGTAGCTGAGCATTCATGTCCACCGTAACTATAATGTCCTTTGAACCTGCACGTCAGGCCGGTGTCTTCATACACCCAGCGTCTGCATCGACTTGGCCGCCTGAATTACTGAAGGCCCAATGGAGAGCAATTTGAGGACCCTATCAGGCGGGGGATTCAGCTGTACACACAAGGTTTTGTGGGGATAGGGTGAGGTGGGACGGGGTGGGGTGGGGCTAATGACATTCACTTGTGCTACCATTCATCATCTGATCTGCTCCATGCGCATAGTCTACTCAGTCTACTCCACATGCAGTTGTGTGGCGCAAAGCAAAGCCTGTGTCATGACTCGCTTCAAAGGATCTGTCAAGCCAACCTCCTTGCGCACCATGTTGTTGAAGACCATATCAATATATTGAAAGAGCTGTGATTTTCAAACGCTGTAGCCCGCATAGACATTGTCTTTCCTGGTAACTCTTCCAACGCTGGTACGTTGCTAAAAACATAAACTTCCTCTCGCAGCACAACCTGTCGTAGAACCAGTTGTCGTCGATCACTCTCACATGTCGTCCGAACTTCTGCGCGAACCCTCGCCAGTCAGACCACTAAGGGCATCGCTTGGGCATTTGATTAAGTCACGGATGCCGTGTTTCTCATGCTAAGCTGCAAAACAAATCAAACAGCAGCAGCAGCAGTAGACCCACGTTTCAAGTATCGATGTGAACTGTAACGTCAGCGTCATGTGTAAACATTGGCTGCCAAAAACAAATGACTGCAATCCACGGATACCTCTTCCATGCTCTTTCCAAGTGCACTAGTAATAGTGATGCAAGCGTAAACGGAAAAAAGTGGTATTCCTTGAGAAATGTTGCGTTAAAGCATGTTCCTTTATGTAGCGTTAAGTGAGCAAGCCCTTTCTTTATTTCTTTACATGTATTTCTTTCATTATGTATTTCTTTCTTTCTTTCTACCTCTTCTCAACAACATTGTTATTAATTGTTGATGTTCTGCTTGTATGTACTCTGCGGTGGTATGCGTTGTATTGCTCCGACCTTTCAACTCTGTCTTCTCCATGCTGATGCTTCTTTTCCTTGTAGGTACTTACCTTAGTCATGGCACTTGTTGCTTTGGCTGCTTGACTTTTATGCTTCTACTTGCGCCCTCCGTTTCAACCAACCCCTGATCCGTGTGTAGAGCCCACCCAGTTTTCGCACGTGCAACTGACCCTGCCTCCCCCTATCAGCAGGCAAAACAATGATGCAAGTGCAATTGGCTCATGCAAAACAATTGAGGAGGTTGCCTCCCCCTAGTTTTACGAATCTCACACTAGTATTTATAGAATTGAGGTCTTCCAAGCTTGCCTGCATACCCAGCCTCAGCACCCCAACATCTCCCTCCCGATGGCGCCCTCTAGTTAGCACCAGAGATCACATCCACGCGCCTCAGCAATCTGAGACTTACATAAGCCGCTTCAGCCCCAACCATCCAAAAAATCAGACAAATCAGATCCCTTTCAACCGTGATTTATCCATCATCGCACCAGATTTCGCCGGGATGAAGCAGTCTAGACGCTTGACTCATCCCACCCCTAGCCCTGAAGAGGTCACTGAGTGCATCCATGTCTGGGGGGGTTCTGGCAGGCTCCGTCGTCGTGTTTTGTTCAGAGTCCCAGGTGCAAGTGGGGCCCATTGAGATCACGGTCTCTTGCGGATAATAGAGCCTCAGGTCGGCGCCACCGCTGCGACCGCAGCGGTGACGGTCGCGGCATCGTACGGTCGCGTTGCGTCGGTTGTGACCTCTCAGGTCGTCGAGATCTGCTGGCGAAGCAGTTCAAGTTGATTGACAGGGCTCTGAACGGCCCATCTCCGGTGACCGGTGGTTATAGACCCCCAAATCCACCCACCCCAACCATGGAACCTTCTCCGCCCAGATTCTGAGGGCGCCCAGATTCTGCGCACTGCTTACCCTCTGACTCACTAACATGGAAGTAGAAAATGGTCCCTTGGAAGACTACTTTTCTCTACCAACAAGGGGTTTTCCACTTCCATGTTAGTGAGTCAGAGTGTAACTCCCAGGAAGTGGGGAATGGATGGAAATGGATCGAGGGACACCACCAGATCGAATGCGAAGGAACAAACACGAATTTGACGAATTCTGCCGCAGCTTCTCCAAATCATCTGCGATCACTGAACAAACTGTATGCTTCTTTCTTCATCTTTCTTGTCAATCTGTAAAAGTACGCCCAAAGAAGCTTGGATGTCGTTGCCAAGAATCTCTTTTTGTGGTTGTGAACTTGCTGGTGTTCCAACCGTGCAAAAACAAAGGAGTCCTGAGTCTTCCAACTCATCTTTTTGGCTCCGCACCCAAAACAGGCACCCACGACCCACCGGGAAAACCACGGATGGCACCGTGCCGCACGGACGGACGCGAGGAACCGAGCAACAGCATGCACCATCGGGGTCGATGCTTCCGAACCTTCCGGAAGCCCCAATAGGAGTCTTTGTGCCACATCCTCAGCACTCGCGAAGCGCGAAGGATGGAATATGGTGAGACTCTTGATTAAGAACCCCCCCCATTTGGATCCACGAACTTGCGGGCGGTCAATCTCGCGCGCTCCCACCTTCACCCTTCCTAGATATTCTAGGGGGGGCCCCCCATTTGGATAGAACAATTTTTTCACACGGAAGGGTTATTCGTCAAGCTGTCTACACCTGAGACTCACATTCCGTGGAAGTGGATGGCACCCCGTGTTTGGAAAAGGAAGCCGTCGGCTTTTTACAGGGGCATACAGGGACCATGCCATCCACATTCCATACAAAGTCCTCAAGTCATCGTCGGCCTACACACCACTCCGGTCCCTGGACCATGCCATCACCATGGGCTTCACGAATTCCAACAGGTCACCAATTGAAACCTGTGACAGGGCCCGAGTCACCCAACCCTCCAGCCATCGACCTGAGACGGGTTCGGTGCATCTACGCATGCTGGTCACCGTGGGTCTCGCTCCGACCAGAAAGCGCTCCGACTTCACCGGGTTTGCACCGGTCGGAGCGACCCGTTGCACGCGAGGGGCCAAAGTCGATCAACGGCGCTCCAAACGGTGGACAGACGGCGAGTGGCTAGGCCAACAGCTGAAGAAGTGCCCGAAGTGCAACAGAAAGTTTCATCAAACCCTGTTCAATTGAATTGGTTCACGGCCTGTTCAGACTTTGGGAGTGAAATGAGGTAAAATGGAATCAAAAGTCTAAATTACAGGGCCTACACTCCTGACTCAATTTCTGTGTTGATGTTACAGGGGGGCTCTTTCATGTTCTTTCCACTTTGCACGTGAGTGGGAGAGTATGGGAGAGGACTTTTGAAGGCATCCACCCTGGAGACATTTCATCCCTCTTGGCTTTCGTGAATGTGATCGCACGGCTTCTTCGTTCGCGCCACGCGCCACAAGTGCCGCCGTTTCTTCTTCGTTCGCGCCCACTGGTCCAAACCCGGGCCCCGAAACAGGCCAAGCGTCTGATTCGATGATGCTGAGACCTCATGAAGGATGAGGAAATTGGACATCAACTGATACACCGCATGTTCGGACAATCGACATTTCAATACTGGTTGCCTCGATTTGCTCAAAAGGCTTGCGTCTGACCTTTCAGCTTTGGCATGGTGCAGCTTCGGCCCTCAAAACCATCACCTCCCAAGCTTTTTTGGCGACGCTTGGGACGCCCAAACGTACATGCTCGTTACTAGAAAACAACTCACCACCATCCACCAGGCCTGGCACCATTCCTATTAGGAACTATAGATCCCAGTCATAACCTCCGTTTTTGGTAGGCATAGACCATGTTTGGGGTAGTTGGTGGCACTCCAGGGGTCAAAGAGGAAACCAGGCGCCCTCCCACGTCGGTCTCCGACTTCCGCGCCCGCACCGGAACGAACCGGAACGCACCGACGCGGGGCGAGTCACATGGAGGTGCCGGTGCCCGTGCAGTAAATAGTGCTCCCCCAAGACCGCCGTCAAGGCCTGTTGCACCTGGCCGAAGAGGAGGAAAGCTGACCTTCCGTGCACCTGAGAGTTGCAGTTTGGTGCTGACGCTTCTCTGTAGACATGTCCGACATGTGTAGAGCCTGTCACAGGAACAGAAACCCGCATTGATACCCCCACCAAACCTGAACAGCTTATTCATGTCTGGAGATGTCTGGAGTAGATCGTGAGATTAATCAACCGTCTATATTAAAACCCCTGCCCTAAACACACACACAAAGAACAAACACCGCAAAACCACAAAAAGAAACTGCGCATCGGCACATCGTCCTGCTTCCTATATGCTCATTCCCTGCGTCTTCTCCTTCTCCGCTTCGGTCATTTTCCGCACGAACTCGGTTCCGTCCCGGACTGCGCCGCGGTCGGCCGCGTGCTCCGGTTCCTCAGGTGTTCAGCCAGCAGTGCTGCAGCAGTTGAGCGGCTGTGAGGCGCTTCTTTGGCTCCTGCGGAAGACGACACGTCCCGACGTGCGTGTCTTCTCGGCGCAGCAGGAGTTGCGCGGAGCGCTTTTTCTTCGGTGGGCTGTGGTGGATAGTGTGGGATGCAAGCAGGGAAGGTTTGGAGAAAGGTGTGGATGTTGATTGTTTGATGGCTGTTCTATGGCGTGGAATTGCATTTGGTCGAAGTTTGAAGGTATGCGTTGCTTCATGGTTCGGAAGGACTTGGGGTAGAGTGAGGTCATCCAACTACTACTACAATCGACTGCAATGGCCATTGGAAATAAGCTAGAAAGTTGTATAACCTCAACAGAAAAGAGCGCTCTGAGCGGCGCGTTTTTGCATTGTTTCATTTTGTTTGTATTTTGTTTCTATATTTGTATTGCGTTTCTATTGATTTTTGTGCCACTGAAAGAATACTATTCTGCCTCAACCTCCCCCCTCCCCCAAAGGCAATTTCCAAAATTCCAATTTTCCAAAATTCCAATTTTCCAAAATTCCAATTTTCCAAAA